ATGTATATACGTTCATTTGTTTTAGAGTTACACCAAAAACCAAAACGATCTTTTGGAAAACAGATTCCCGTTATTCCTTAATTTGTATGTGTTTAATCCCGGCGTTTGTGAAAACAATTGGGAATTTTAAAATTTGACCTTCCGAATGCACAAACTAGATTCACTTTCCAATCGAACAAGATACTGAAGCTGAAAATCGAAGCATTATTTCGACTACTTATCGTGTAGGTACACAGACACAAAAATAAATTTAAAAAAAAACACAGATCATTGTATAATCAATACATTCATCGTTCCACTCGGAATCTAAAACGTTATCTTAATATCCGTCCTCTAATTGCGTTATCAGATAAGAGACATTATTTATACCACAGATTAACCATAACATGCGCAGTATCTTTTTGAGCTTTATCAATGATAAGAGATAAATCATTATTTGTTATTATGATTTTTTTAAATAAACTTATAGGAGTTAAGGTTTTGTATTTTATACAACATGTACCCTACTACTGTGTTATTTTTTTTGATGAACAATTTCCAAATCAAGGACCACACAATTCAAATGAAGTCTCTAGTTGAGCCTATTGCTGAAGATGCGTTATTACGTGCCGGTAAGTTTTTGTTTGATTGGCGTATCATATTATTGGATGTAATTTATAGGTACCTATTTCATTTTTCCAGTGGCCCCTTTACAAATCCAAGGTTTATATATTATTATAATAGAAGTTATAGTATAATAGTAATTTCTAATAACTTTGTTACAGACACAGAACAATTGGTACAGATCCACCTTCTGCTGGCCAACAAATAGATAAGATTACGATCACCAATAGGCAGTAAACAAAATATACTGCCGAACTTAAATTTAATGTTGTCGTTCAACACTCCAACTAGTATTTATTTATTTTAAAGTAAGTGTTAGTAGAGCTGTACGATTTCATAAACATTTTTTATTTAGAGTTTGTAATTATTTATTAATTTTTAAAATATATACCATTGAATACTATTATTTTTTTAACATTTATGAATAATTTGGTACTACCATAACCACAAATTATTATTTTAATGACCATTGTGTCAACTAGTTTCTAAGTAGAACTAATAATTTTGGCAAATTAATATTCACAATTTCGTTCTTAACTCGTCAAAACACCCCTCTTCAAAAAAAAAAAAAAATTAAAGAAAAAAAGGTGCCCCAGTATAGTAAACTTATATCCTAGTTTCTTCGTGCATATAATATCCACTCCATTTATATTTTGGTATTTAGGTTAGATGTCTGTAGTGTATAGTCACTAAATTATCACAGTTATGTAATATTACTAGGTATTTAAACTATTTTTGTTTGTAGTGATTAAGCTGCCAAGAATATTGCTCATCAAGGGTTCACAGCAAAAGATGGAGAATATGAAATTATCACCAAACCATAAGGACAAGTAATTTTAAACAATAAACCATTTATATTTCAATAATAGTGACAATTACCCATGTTTTAGGAGATTTTAGGTACAAAGTTGAACCACTTAATTTCAATGATATTTTTAATATCCACCTATCCATGTATTTCATTTAGGCTGATAAAGGCACTGGAGTTGTTAAAAGCGTTCCTTCCGATTGTCCAAATGATTACGCAGCTTCAGCTAAACTAAAAAAGAAACCGGCATTACATGTAAAGTATAATTTTACTGGTGAGATGGTACTCCCTTTTGAACCTGTGAGTAACTTTAGAAAGATTTTCAATAAGATCAATAAATATTATTTTCAATTTACTTTTAATATATTTATTTTAGATATCTATAATTGAAATCCTAGACTTTGAAGTTTATGTGCTGTAACAGTGTCTGATGAATTACAAAATGATAAAGAAAAATTACAAATTGGCAATTGTTATAGAAAAAGTGTACTTAAAAGCATTTTATGATTGGGTGAGTCTTAATTGAGTTTAAATTATTTGATTGTTGTTTTCAAAATTAATTTTAAATTTCAGATACTTATAGTGGGAGAATTCTAAGGATAAAAAGTGCAAGATGTTAAAAAAGCTTTACAAAACAAAACTTGCGGACCTGCGAACTATTTTTGTTTGTAGTGATTAAGCTGCCAAGAATATGTCTTATCAGGGGCTTACATCAAAACATGGAGAATAGGAATTTTTCACCAAATATAAGAATCATTTTTTTGTGGACGAGTAATTTTAAACAATAAACTATTTATACTTCAATAATAGTGTCATTTACCCATGTTTTAGGATATTTTAGGTACAAAGTTGAACCACTTAATTTCAATGATTTTATTAATACCCTTCCTATCAATGTTATTCATTCAGGCTGATAAAAGCACTGGAGTTGTTAAAAGCGTTCCTTCTAATTGTCCAAAAGATTACGCAGCTTTAACTAATCTAAAATAGAAACCGGCATTCCACGAAAAAATATAATATTACTGATGAGATGGTACCTGTGAGTAACTTTTGTTAGATTTTCAATAAGATCAATAAATATTATTTTTAATTTACTTTTGATATATATTATTGTAACATCTATATGATATTTATAATTATATTTAAAAAATAAAATAATTTTTATGAGTATTTTTTTTTAGATACCTATAATTGAAATCCTAGACTTTGAAGTTTAGTAAGTAGCTGTAACAGTGTCTGATGAATTACAAAATGATAAAAAAAAATTAAAATTGGCAATTGCTAAAGAGAAAGTTTTATTAAAAGCATTTTATGAACGGTTGAGTCTCAATTGAGTTTAAATTATTTGATTGTTTGTTTTCTAAATTAATTTTAAATTTAAGATACTAATAGTAGGAGAATTCAAAGGATAAAAAGTGGAAGGTGTTAAAAAAGCTTTACATAAAAAAACTTATAGACTAGAAAAAATCTGTTATTTATTATGAACCCAAAAAAGTTGGTATTACAGAGCATGAATATTTACAATGAGGAAGTTAGGAAAAACTTTATGTCGTGTTTAAACTGGTTACACGAATATGCTTGTTCTAGAACTTATGGATTAGATAATGAAATCAAATTTAATTTTTTTTTTTTTAATTCCACTCTTATCAAATTAACTATGCAATATATTTAATTATAAAAGGAACAACTACTGCAATAAAATCATGCAAGTCTTGGCAACAAAATTGTACTCCCGCACTTACACCATATTTATCTATACTCTGTCCAGCGTGAGAACGCGCTGATGTTGTGCAACACCCTGCTGTCGAAACCGGTTCCCCTTGAGTGGGGGAGAACCACTTTTGGTTGATACTCGACACATTCTCTCGCTGGACAACATAGAATATAGACTACTGCTTGTTTCTGTGAATAGAATGCGATACTCAATGAGATATTCTTTTATTAGATTTAATCCTTATAAATATTTAATTTTAATATTTACATTTTCAATTCTAATATTATATGTTGCTTGTGATTCAAATTCAGGTCGATGTTGAAGAAGATAAAAATATTTGTGATGAACCTGAAGAAATTATTGTTATCTCTATATATATTTCAGTGAACCATAACAATTTAAGTGAATTTTTATATGTTAAAATTAAATTTATTGTTAACTGTTTACTTAATAATTACAATTGGTCATACTGCTACAAATAATGTTTGTGGTAAATATAATAAAATATGAAATTTACTAAAAAAAATTAATTGTATTATGTAACATACCCGTGTTAGTAATATATATTTTGGTATGATATCCAAAAATATTCGAGGCCATTAACGATAATTAAAAATATTTGATTTACCAGTAAAAATAAAAGTATCCATATAAACTATTTTAACGCCATCATATAAATATACTATTATAGGTAATTGGATATTATGTGCCAATTTATTTTTTATTTTATTTCATTATACATTAATTTAATGTAACAATATAATATTATAAGATATGTCTTATTATACCTTTACTCAAATTTAAAATTTATATTTTATCTAGACAATCTCATTGGATTTTTATTTAATTTTAATTTTAAGGCAAGTTATGAGTATTTTAAAATTGTAAATATTATATGCTATTGAGGTGCCTCTTAATGTCATGATAACTAAAAGTCTAAAACACTAATATTTGTACATCGTTTTATTGTGAAATATTTGATGATATTTAATATTAAAAAAATAATGTATATATACTATCATAAAACATACATAAGTTGTTCCCTACTTAATATTTTATAAACCTTTTGTTATTTACTTAACGGTTGTTGGATTCCACCAAAAGAGTTTATATAAAAAGCCTTTATGAAATTATTAATGAAAGCCACTACTGAAGGACTGGCACCATGTTTAGCATTAATATTATACAAATTAATATTAGCTTTTCATGAAATTTTAATCTATTGATAATGTGAATAATGTATGAATATTTAAAATGTATGTTTTAGGATGGAAATGTAATTATGCTAAGCTTTGCAGTTCGAACATTGGCAATCTTATTTAATAGTTAAAAGTATATTAAATGAAATAATAGACATATAATATTTTTGATTGTCACGTGTTTAATTTGGGTTTCGGTTGCATTGGAATCTGGATTGCCTGAGCCAGTATTCAAAAGATGTATTTCACTAGTTGAAAAAAGATTAAACCAAAATATAGTACCTAAGTATAAAATTTTAATTTTTTAAAAATGAATTATTTATTTTATAAATATTGTAGTTTATGGGTTTACAGTAGAGACCAGTTTGATGCAAATAATGATAAGGTGATCATGATTGTTGCTATAGACAAACTCTCTTGTTTTGCAAATGTAATCACTTTTTCATTACTGATACAACAAGTAGGTAACATTGAACTTTAACAGGTGTCAATCATGAAAATATGGCTCGATTGATCCATCGTACAGGATGTGAACAATTTGAATATTTTGTCGAATGGCAAATCGAGTTAATCGTTGTGACATACTATTGGAAATAGAGTAGTCTATTTGACTGAAAAATAAACATTTTTAATTCATTATAGTAAATATTATGTATATTCATTGTATATAAAATTATTATATTTCTCCTCCTAACGTTATTAAAACAATCTTTAGTCGTCGTTCTCGTCTTGGGGGCTCCGATTTTCTAGGCAGTCTATGTGACCGAATGCGGCTTAAGGCTCTGCTGCATGTCTCTTCGTCCCAGGGACATCCGTTCTCCCGTGCGTAAGCTAAGCAGTCCAGATGACCAGTACATGCTGCTTTGTTGCATGTTTTCTCGTCCCAGGGACATCCATTCTCCCGTGCGTACCTCAGACACTGCAGATGACCATCATATGCTGCATCGGCGCACGTCCACTCGTCCCACGGGCATCCGTTCTCCCGTGCGTAAGCTAAGCAGTCCAGATGACCATTAGATGCTGCTCTGCTGCAAGTGTCTTCGTCCCAGGGACATCCGTTCTCCCGCGCGTACCTGAGACACTCCAGATGACCATTAAATGCTGCTTGGGAGCACGTCCACCGGTCCCACGGGCATCCGTTTTCCCGAGCGTAAACTAAGCACTCCAGCTGACCATTAGATGCTGCTTGGGAGCACGTCCACCGGTCCCACGGGCATCCGTTTTCCCGAGCGTATACCAAGCAGTCCATGTGACCGTGTTTCGTGGCATAGCAACACGTCTCATCGTTCCACGGACACCCGTTTTCCCGTGCGTAAACCAAGCAGTCCATGTGACCGTTTTCCGCGGCACTGCTACACGTCCCCTCGTCCCACGGGCACCCGTTTGCCCGTGCGTATACCAGACACTCCATGTGACCGTTTGCCGCGGCATTGCTGCACGTTTTCGCGTCCCACGGGCACCCGTTGTCCCGGGCGTAAACCAAACACTCGATGTGACCGTTTGCCGCGGCATTGCTGCACGTTGTCTCGTCCCACGGGCACCCGTGCTCCCGGGCGTATCTTAGACATTCTACATTGCCCGATTCCGCAGCTTTGCCGCACGCCATGATATCCTCGGTCGCATCTTCTGGGTCGTCAGGGATTATGGTCCAAGGGACGCCGACCTCGTGAGCGAGTTTCAGGCAACCGATGTGCCCGTGGAACGCTGCATTTCCGCATATGTTTCCAAACCTCTGGTCATCGACGGGCAATTCCGATCTGCCGAACATGGTGTGCCTATCGTTGCCCTGACTTTGGTTTTTGCTGGTTTTTAAAATTGCGAACAGCGACTCGCAACAATCTCGCATACCGACGTCCGGCGTTTCCATCGAGTCGTACTCGTTACGGTCGACCTCGTTACAAGCGTAGTACGCCGTTTTCACGAGGCTGGGTACTTCGTACATGTCTCCGTTGGGCCCGACGACGTAGCTCTCCGATCGAAATGTACTGCAGAACAGCGCTGTCCGCCCGTACGAGTGAACGATCAACACAGCTCGCGAGGAAATATAACGTTCGATATCACTGGCAATCGACGACGTGTGGTGTGCAGATGACGCTCGAATGACGACGTTAAAAAAATTTAGAAAAAACGACTCAACAGCACGCGCGTGTATATCCGTACAACACAAAGGTACCCGCTGTGGAGTGTGCCGAGAGTGGTAAAAAAAAAAAACTACAACTCGACGTAACCTGAAAACGATGAAATCAATACCGTTTATAATATATTGTTCGTCGGGAAGTCTCGTGAAAATCATGAAGTATAACGTAAAATGTTGATTTTATTCCAGTGGCGTGGGTTCACGTCACTCCACGATGTAGGTTTTTAACGAGCCTACAAAATATGCCATAGTTCCGGTGGTAAGTATTACTGTTGCGGAGCCACTGTTGTTCATGCATTTATTCGTTATCTACGTCGGTGATAAGATAACATCATGAAGATTAGAGATAAGGAAACCAAACTCCGTATACAAAATCTGGCCCGGCAAAAGTCGCACGGTTATTCTGCCACCAGGAGGCGCGTCGTTCGATAGCAGTGCTACGTTTTACCACTTATTATACCTACGTACTTTTCTATAAAAATGTACGTTCTTTTTCATTTTTTTGAATTCCGATGAAATATAAATTATGATTTATTATTTACTACCCGGTCAGGTTAAAGTATACCTAAATATATAATCAAAGTTCAAAAGGTGTTTGCTATAAAAAAAAGTATTTTTTCTAATTTTATTATGAGGATTGGAAACTTTTTTTCTTATTCCATCAGCCATTTTTTTCGTGCTATCCTGCAGTCAAAACGATGACTACTCATGGGTCCACGTTGCCCTACACGTTTTTCAACATAACATTTATTAATACAAGTAAATAATACAATTGAGTATTGTAATTTCTATAATATCCTAAATATAAATTATTATACTTATAACAAAAAAAAAAAAAAAAATTAAGAATGATAATATTCTAACACGTCCTACAAAAAAATTTAAATAATAATAATCATGTATAGGAATTCCCGCGTTTCAAGACCTGTCTTGCTATTATTATTACCATCATATATCGACCTACACAATTTGTATTAGTGTAGTCTGTAGTATCTGAACATTAAAGCTGCATCCCTGCAGGTATTAATTTTATTGCTAGTCTATAGTTGTCATAAAATTATTAAAAGTTTAATTAATATACGTATAGTATTAATTATTTTGTATAATATGTCTTTTGTTTGCAAACAATGTAATGCAAATTTTACCAAAAAATATAATTTAAGCCGACATCAATCAACTCGCCACCAAAAAAATAAAGACATTGACAATAAATTCGTAAGTATTTAAGAGACAAGAGCAGTGCCGTAACTAGGCTACTTGAGGCCTGTGTGCAAAACCAAAATATTGAGGCCCCTTATTATCTTTTTCAATACACACCTCAAAAACTTTTTTTGCAATTTTTAAAGTCAGCAGGCAAAAATTCGGGCTTAAACAAAAAAAAATTCTAAATTTAAAATAATCTATAATTTTAAAACAATTTCTCAAGGCTACAGCTAACTCAAAAAAGTAAATATTTTCCAAAATGTAATTTATTGAAAATATTAATATAAATATTTGGTGAAAACTTCAATGGTCTACGGTTATTAGTTTTCGAGTTATACCAAAAAATGACAATTTTTTTTTTTTTATTGACGCTTTTTAATATCTAAATCTAAAAATTTCGATCTCCAAAAAGTACCAACTAGATTCACTTTTCTAACAGAAAAAATGCTGATCTCGAAATTCGGAATATTTTTACTACCCAATGTTGATGACCGACAGAAATGAAAAAAAATTATACACATCTTGTAAAATCAATACATTTGTTCGTTCCTCTCAAAATCTAAAAACAGTGATCACGACTCCATGCTATATGAAAAAAATGAAATAACATTGTGACATACTATTGGAAATAGAGTAGTCTATTTGACTGAAAAATAAACATTTTTAATTCATTATAGTAAATATTATGTATGTTCATTGTATATAAAATTATTATATTTCTCCTCCTAACGTTATTAAAACAAGTTTTAGACGTAGTAGTTCTCGTCCTCAGGGCACTCGTTTTCCCTAGCGTAAACTAAGCAGTTCATGTGACCTCCGAATGCGGCATTGCTGCATGTCTTCTCGTCCTAGGGACATCCGTTCTCCCGTGCGTATTCCAAGCACTGCAGCTGACCATTATCTGCTGCTTGGGCGCACGTCTCCTCGTCCCAGGGACATCCGTTCTCCCGTGCGTATTCCAAGCACTCTAGATGACCATTACATGCGGCATTGCTGCATGTCTTCTCGTCCCAGGGACATCCGTTCTCCCGTGCGTATTCCAAGCACTCTAGCTGACCATTATATGCTGCTTTGCTGCATGTCTCCTCGTCCCAGGGACATCCGTTCTCCCGTGCGTAAACCAAGCACTCCAGCTGACCATTATGTGCTGCTTGGGCGCACGTCCGCTCGTCCCACGGGCATCCGTTTTCCCGTGCGTAAACCAAGCACTCCAGCTGACCATTATATGCTGCTTGGGCGCACGTCCACTCGTCCCACGGGCATCCGTTTTCCCGTGCGTAAATCAGACACTCCAGCTGACCATTATATGCTGCTTGGGTGCACGTCCACTGGTCCCACGGGCATCCGTTTTCCCGTGCGTAAACCAAGCACTCCAGCTGTCCATTACGTGCTGCTTGAGTGCACGTCTCCTCGTCCCAGGGACATCCGTTTTCCCGTGCGTAAACCAAGCACTCCAGCTGTCCATTACGTGCTGCTTGGGTGCACGTCTCCTCGTCCCAGGGGCATCCGTTTTCCCGTGCGTAAACCAAGCACTCCAGCTGACCATTATGTGCTGCTTGGGTGCACGTCCACTTGTCCCACGGGCATCCGTTTTCCCGTGCGTAAATCAGACACTCCAGCTGACCATTATGTGCTGCTTGGGTGCACGTCCACTCGTCCCACGGGCATCCGTTTTCCCATGCGTATCTTAGACATTCTAGATTGCCCGATGCCGCAGCTTTGCCGCACGCCATATCCTTGGCCCAATCAAATGGGTTGTAAGGGTTTATGGTCCAAGGGACGCCGACCTCGTGAGCAAGTTTCAGGCAATCGATGTGCCCGTGCAACGCTGCATTTTCGCATATGTTTTCAAACCTGTGGTCATTAATTGGGAATTGCGATCTGCCGAACATGGTCTGCCTATCGTTGCCCTGACTTTGGTTTTTGCTGATTTTTAAAATTGCGAACAGCGCCTCGCAACAATCTTGCATATCGACGTCCGGTGTTTCCATCAAGTCGTACTCGTTACGGTCGATCTCGTTACAAGCGTAGTACGCCGTTTTCACCAGGCTGAGTACTTCGTACATTTCTCCGTTAGGTCCGACGACGTAGCTCTCCGATCCAAATGTACTGCAGAACAGCGCTGTCCACCCGTACGAGTGAATGGTTAACAGCTCGCGAGGAAATATAACGTTCGATATTACTGGCAATCGACGTGTGGTGTGATGACGCTCGAATAACGTCGTTAAAAAAATTTAGAAAAAACGACTCAACAGCATGCGCGTGTGTGTATCCGTGCAACACAATAGGTACCCACTGTGGTAAAAAAACTACAAAAACAACTCAACGTAACCGGAAAACGATGAAAACAATACCATTAATAATATTGTTCGTCGTGAAGTCTCGTGAAAACTGCAAGTATAACGTAAAATGTTGATTTAATTCCAGTGGCCGTGGCCACGTCACTCCACGATGTAAGTAAAACGCAGGGTTGCCAACATCTACAGCTGAACATAACGAGCCAACAAATGCCATAGTTCCGGTGGTAAGTATTACTGTTGCGGTGCCACTGTTGTTCATGCATTTATTCTATATCTACGTCGGTGATAAGATAACATTCAAATAATTACCGCGTGAATTTAAATATTATAATCATTATTATTATTTATTAATACAAGTAAATAATACAATTGAGTATTGTAATTTTAGATTCTGAGTGAAACGATGAATGAATTGATTTTACAATGATGTGTGTTTTTTTATTTTTTTATTTTTTAATTTTTTAATTTTTTTTGTATCTGTGTACACGATAAGTAGTCGAAATAATGCTTCGATTTTCGACTTCAGTATCTTGTTCGATTGGAAAGTGAATATCGTTGGTGCATTGGGGAGGTCAAAATTTAAATTTCCCAGTAGTTTTCACAAGCGCCGGGAAAAACAACATAAAAATTAAGGAAAAACGGGAATTTTTACGCAAAATTGATTTTCCAAAAAATCGATTTTGGTTATTGGTGTAACTCTAAAACAAATGAACGTATATACATGAAATTTTCACTGGTTGTTTATATTTGCATTTTCTATACACGATAACATTTTCAAAATATTTTGATTTATTTTGAACTGTTTAGGGACATTTTCATTTTCCATTTTTTTTTAGTTTTTTTTCTAAAAATTTCAATAAAATTTTATTTGTTGGTTGCGAAAGCAACGTAATCACTCTCGAAAAATATTTTTGTACACTCACAACAGTGAAAAATGCTAATAAGCTGGCGAAAAATACACATACTTCTAGTAGTCCAATTTCAATTTTGAAAAATTATTTGAATTCGTCAGCCTCTTTTCTATGATTTGTAGGAAACCGATTTTGGATATTTTAGATAATTTACGTATATTATGGTTCCAAATGACTGCTTGATTTCTCAAATTTGACTTGCACTTTTAAGTGCTAACTAGACAAAAAGATGAAAAAGTTTTTCCTACAGATCATAGAAAAGAGGCTAACGAATCCAAATAAGCATTCAAAATTGAAATTGGACTACTAGAAGTATGTGTATTTTTCGCCAGCTTATTGGTCTAAATGCATGAAAAATCCAATCGTTTAGAGCCGCCTTAACAAAAACCGTGATACTATTATGGATATAATATAATTCGCGATAGAAAGCGAAGCGGCTGACATCTGGTGGAGGCGGCATGAAACGTTGTAACGGGGCCGACAAGCCCGACATGAAAACTGAATAGGTCTATGAATACAAAATATATTGAGAATTTATCATAATTTATTAACCACGAATAGTTTTAGATTCTGAGTGAAACGATGAATGTATTGATTTTACAATGATGTGTGTTTTTTTTTTATTTTTTTTATTTATTTTTTTTGTGTCTGTGTACACGATAAGTAGTCGAAATAATGCTTCGATTTTCGACTTCAGTATCTTGTTTGATTGGAAAGTGAATATCGTTGGTGCATTGGGGAGGTCAAAATTAAAATTTCACAGTAGTTTTCAAAAGCGCCGGGAAAAACAAAAGAAAAATTACGGAAAAACGGGAATTTTTACGCAAAATCGGTTTTCCAAAAAATCGATTTTGGTTTTTGGCGTAACTCTAAAAGAAATGAACGTATATACATGAAATTTTCACTGGTTGTTTACATTTGCATTTTCTATACACGATAACATTTTCAAAATATTTTGATTTATTTTGAACTGTTTAGGGACATTTTCATTTTCATTTACATTTTCATGAAAATTTAATAGAAGGCTCCTAATATGTTGTTTCAAAGGCAGATGAAAAATATTAAAAATCCTTAGTCACAATTTTTTTTTATGAGCATTTAAAGTTCAAAAATTGACAAAATATGGAAAAATCACGAAAATTAGCAAATTATTTTGAGTTAAGAATTCGTAAAAATTTTTCTTTTTAAATCTAAGATTTGAAAATCTAATACAAGATTACTCATAAGATTGTCTACCTTTATCAATAAAAAAATTTCTACCGGAAAGTCAAATTAAATTTTTATGAGCGTTTGAAATTCAAATTTTTACAACATTGGATATTCACTCGATTTCTCATGTGGCAATTTCCTTTTTTTGTTGTAATTAAAAAACGAATTACTGTAGATACATGAAAATTTCACTGAATGTTTATATTAGCATTTCCTATACACCCTACAATTTTGAAAATATTTTGACACTTTTTGAGCCGTTTACGGACATTTTCAGTTTTCAATTTTTTTAGTTTTTTTTTCTATAAATATCAATTAAGTTTTATCTGTTGGGCAAAAAAGTGTAAAAATTTAATACAAGGCTCCTGATATATTGTTACAATATCAGTTGAAAAATATTAAAAATACATAGGCACAATTTTTTTTTATAAGCATTTTAACATCGAATTTTGATAGAATTTTTCAAAATCTCGAAAATTATTAATCATCGTAATTAATAAATTATAAAATGTTCAGTTTTTATAGCTAAGGATTGAAAATTTAAAACAAGATTCCACGTAAGTAGTTAATTCTCTTACCGAAAAATCTAAAAAATATACAATCACAGTTTACTTTTATAGTCATTTTATGTTCAAATTTGGACGAAATTACATATTAAAAAACCTAGTTATTTTGTTGTGATTATATAATATTATTCGTGGGTACCTACTTGAAACTTCTAAAGTGTACTATTATATATATATGATAGTATCAGGGTTTGTTGTTGATGTTGATGTATAACGTGTTATAAGTACCTAATGGATATTGTGATAATGTGATATGATTAATTTGGAATTTATTATAGGTCAATTTTTTTTTAATACCATAGATATGTATATAATTTGTATTAAACCTAGACTGACATACCGTCTTCGCTCAGAATCGTTTTTCTTATACAATGATATTGTATCATTGAATTCAAATTTAATAGCATCCATTATACAGTGACCCACTTGTAACCTACTGTACAGCAGAGCGACATCCACTTACCCACCTTTTTATATCCTAAATCTAAATTATTATACTCATAACATAAAAAAAAAAAAAAAAATTAAGAATGATAATATTCTAACACGTCATACAAAAAAAGGTGGGCAAGTGGGTGTCGCTCTGCTGTACAGTAGGTTACAAGTGGGTCATTGTATAATGGATGGTATTAAATTTGAATTCAATGATATAATATCATTGTATAAGAAAAACGATTCTGAGCGGAGACGGTATGTCCTTCTAGGTAAAAGACATATTATATACATATCTATGGTATTAAAAAAAATTGACCTATAATGAATTCCAAATTAATCATATCACAATATCCATTAGGTACTTATAACGCGTTATACACCAACAACAAACCCTGATACTATCATGGATATATATAGTAGATTACTTTAGAAATTTCAAGTACCCACGAATAATATTATACAAGCACAACAAAATAACTAAAATCGTAATTCTTGGTTTAAATATGAAATTTTGTCTAAACTTGAAATTAAAATGTCTGTAAAAAATAAGTGTGTTTATATATTTTTTAGATTTTTTGGTTACAGTATGAATTATTTAAGAGAATCTTCGTTTTAAATTTTCAACTCTTAGTTATAAAAACTGAACATTTTATAATTTTTTAATTCCAACGATTGATTATTTTCGAGATTTTGATAAATTTTGTCAAAATTCCAACTTTAAATGCTTATAAAAAAAAATCGTGCCTATGTATTTTTAAAATTTTTCAACTGATATTGTAACAATATATAAGAAAGCTTGTATTCAATTTTCAGACTTTTTGGCCCACCAAATAAAATTTTATTGACAATTATAAAAAAAAAAACTAAAAAAATTGAAAACTGAAAATGTCCGTAAACAGCTCAAAAAGAGTCAAAATATTTTCAAAATTGTATGGTGTATAGGAAATGCTAATATAAACATTCAGTGAAATTTTCATATATCTATACTTATTCGTTTATGAATTACAACAAAATAAGGAAATCGCTACATGAGAAATTGAGTGAACATCCAATATTGTAAAAATTTGAATTTCAAACGCTCATAAAAATGTAATTTGACTGTCCGGTAGAGATTTTTTTTATTGATAAAGGTAGACAAACTTATGAGTAATCTTGTATTACATTTTCAAATCTTAGATTTAAAAAGAAAAATTTTTGCGAATTTTTAACTCAAAATAATTTGCTAATTTTCGTGATTTTTCCATATTTTATCAATTTTTGAGCTTTAAATGCTTATAAAAGAAACTGTGACTAACGATTTTTAATATTTTTCATCTGCCTTTGAAACAATATACTAGGAGTCTTCTATTAAATTTTCAAGTTTTTTTAACCAACAAATAAAATTTTATTGATATTTCTAGAAAAATAACTAAAGAAAAATGAAAAATGAAAATGTCCCTAAACAGTTCAAAATAAATCAAAATATTTTGAAAATGTCATCGTGTATAGAAAATGCAAATATAAACAACCAGTGAAAATTTCATGTATCTATGGTCATTTGTTTTAAAGTTACACCAAAAACCAAATTCGATTTTTTGGAAAATCGATTTTGCGTAAAAATTCCCATTTTTCCTTAATTTTTATGTTGTTTTTCCCGGCGCTTGTG